CTCTCTCTCTCTCTCTCTCTCTTCCCCTTTCCCTCCCTCCCTCCCTCCCCCTATCTCCCCTGAACTGACTTTGGACTTATCAGGAAAGGACAGAAATGAACCCACTTCTGACAAAGCAGACCCAGAATTAGTCCCCTTTGCTTAGCCACTCTGATATAGTTAAGGAGGGTGCCTAGCTTCTAATACCTTCAGGAGCCCAGTGACACCAGGAAGTGTCATCTTCAAGGTAAGAACAATAAAGGAAGAAAGAAACTGCAACACAGAAAGAAAAAAGCAACAGTGATTAGTTAAGCATCCTCTCCTTTTAGACTCAAAAAAATCTAGTAGAGGTGGCCTTGATTCCTGTTTCACTGGTGAAAATACTGAGGCTCAGAAATGTGAAGACAATGGCCAAGGTCCTGCAGACAGGAATTGGCAGAATCAGACTAAATGCAAAGCCAAGTCTCTTTCCAATGCCCCATTCGACCTCATTTCCAGCTAACTACAGCCCATGATTCTTCTAGGAGCCCCCAGGGCATCTGTGCAGAAACCCACAAAGAGACAAGACCTCCTGGTTGCCATAGTTTTTACCACCATTCAAAATAGAAATTAATAATAATAGCCATGGGGCTGGGATTGCGGCTCAGTGGTAGAGCACTTGCCTAGCCCATGTGAAGCACTGGGTTCTATCCTCAGCACCACATAAAAATAAATAAATAAAATAAAGACATTGTGTCCATCTACAACTAAAATTAAAAGAATAATAATATTAGCCATGGCCTCAACTGCAAACCTTTCCCAACCTGGCCATTCCCCTTCCATATGCATTTTAGAGAGCCCCCAGATGTTTTCTATAAAGCTCCACCTCCAGAAAACTCAGCTGGAGACTCCAAAGGTCTTATGGTGCTACATCACAGTCCAGAAAGGCATGTGATGTCAAGCACTTTCCTCCAGGTAGAATGGTCCATTTTGGAAAGCTGATGTGGGGAGGAGTCACACTTACCCTTACCCAAGGAAGAACACAGCCACCTTATGAGCCCCCTCCCTACAGAGTGCACCTGGGGAAGAGCCTCTGAAGCTGTATTAATTAATGAGAACCCCACAAAGGAGCTGAATTCAGCTAGGCCCCACAGCTCCTACCTAGCTTTTGTATTCCCAGTCCTTCCAAGAGCATTATCACCTGCTCTTTCCGTACTCTGGCTCTTTAGAGATGCTTTAAAGACATGCCTAGAGGGAGAAAGCATTTTATCCACTCTGAGATAGAGTTTTCCAAGAGAATAATATGGAAGAGTTTTTTTTTCCCATTCCTTTAGGTGGAATTATCAAAAGAGCTTTGTTGAGTATAGGCTCTTCAGGTCAAAGGGAAGTCCCACCTGGAGTCACATGCTTCACCAGCCTCCAAACAGGACTTTCAGAAAGTCCAGATGTAAGCAACTACCCCTTGCTTGAGCCTCTCCACTAAAGTTCCCTTTCCTGTTTTCCACATTTTTTATTGGTGCATTATAGTTATACATGTTGAGGGCAAAGTTCCCTCTTATATTGGATCATCTCAACAGTCCTAGGAAGAAACTCTTTTTTTATAATCACTGAGGCTCAGAGAGGTAAGCAGCTTGCCCCAGGCCCTGCAGTCAACAGGGCAGCATGGTGGCTCCAAGTCATCTTGCCCCCAAGGTGACCACTGTCCTTGGCCCATTGCCCAAGGCTCTTTCTCCTTGCATCATCAGTGCCAGAGAAGAGACTTCCCAGGGCCCAGGACACTGATGGGAAATCTGTACCTGTGTAGCTACATCTTCATCCTCCAATTCTGACTCACCATCTATTCCAGCAAACAGCTGAGATGTGGGTTCTCTGATCTTGTCCTCAGGGGAAGAGTCTCTTTTCAGTGCATGCTCACCCTGGAAGCACAGGCCTTGCAGAATCAGATTCAAGGGCATCCAAAAGGAAGAAGCCATGGAAGCCCTTTCACCCTCCTTTAAAAATCATGTCTAAAGATGAGTGCATGTTGCTAGAGCATAAGTCCAGTAACATTTGTAACTCAACCACATTTGGCCTGAGATCATAGATAATGTATTTAGGAAGCCATCCCCTGCAGAAAGACATAGCTTATTAATAGGCTATTAGATCACTGAAGGACTGCGATAAAGGGAAAAGGGTAAGGAGGCAATCCTTTAAGACAAATGTCAGAGCCCCTACTCCTCCAAGAGGCCTCCCACTGTCTGACCTCCATTCTTCCCCTCCCAGGTTTGGCTTCATCTTCAACAAATCTGACCCTGCGGTTCACAAAGTAGACCTAGAGACACTGATGCCCCTCAAGACCATAAGCCTGCAAAGCCATGGCTGTGTGCCCCAAGCCATGGCACACACCCACCTGGGCGGCTACTTCTTCATCCAGTGCCAACAGGACACCCCCACCTCCACCACCCCGCAGCTGCTCATTGACAGTGTCACGGATTCTGTTCTGGGTCTCAACAGTGACGTAACAGGGACCCCCCATGTGTCTCCCGATGGGCGCTTTATTGTCAGCACCGCCGCCAACAGTCCCAGGTTGCACGTGCAGGAGGTCACAATGAGGGGGGAGATCCAGACCCTGTATGACCTGAAAATAAACCCAGGCATCTCGGACTTGGTGTTCCAGCACTCCTTCACTGAAGGTAATCAGTATGACATCTATGCCACCCTGGAGACACAGCCCGACCTGCTGTTCCTGGAACTGTCCACAGGGAAGATGGGCATGCTGAAAAACTTAAAGGAACCACCCACAGGGCCAGTCTGGCCCTGGGGAGGACCTCGCAGAATCCTGAGGGACAGCGGGCTATTTGGACAGTACCTCCTCACGCCAGCCCAAGAGTCACTGTTCCTGATCAATGGTAGACAAAACACACTGCGGTGCGAGGTGTCCGGCATAAAGCGGGGATCCACGGTGGTGTGGGTGGGCGAGGTATGAAAGAGCTCAGCACAGAGCCCTGGGCCCCGCGGGCACCACCTAGTCCTGACACCGCAGCCCCAAGCAGGCGCGCTGTACATTTTCACAGACAAAAGCAAAATCCCGTATCCGCTTTGTGGTTCAACACTGGTCTCCTTGCAAGTTTCCTAGTATAAAGTATGCGCTGCTATCAAGATTGGGGTTTTTTCATTAGGAAGTATGATTTACGCCTCGAGCTGCAATGAGAACATATGCTGCTGTGTAAAGGAATCATTTCTGTACCAGGCTGCACGCCGCGTCACCTGGGGATGCCGTGGAACCAAGAGATCCTGCTTTCCGGGGGACACTCCTGTCAGTTGCCTTCACATTGTCATCATCCTGTCCCGCCAGCCCCAGCCAGAATTTTTGCCCTGAACCTAGTGGCCTGGAAACAGGGCTGAGCAGGAGCAGGGAACTGTCCCTCTGGGAGTTCAAGGCCATCTGTCCTCGCTTGGGACCTCTCTTTCTCCTTCACAGCCGCTTCTTGCTTTCCTTTCCATCTGACTTGGCGTAAGCCTGAGGGAGAGCCAATGAGACTTATTACACCTTGGGGGATGGGGAAATCACTCTCTTTATTTTGGAAATTTTTGATTAAAAAATAATTTTTTATAATCTCAAATGCTAGTAAGCAGAAAGATGCTCTACGAGGTCCAGCTATATTCTTCCCTGCCTTAGGCCACGTCTCTGGGGGTCACTCCTGAACATTCCACAGCCAAAAGAACAATGGTCATCCAAAAATAATGGCCCGCTATACCATTGCCGCTCCTCTGCCCCAGGTGCAGATCAGGCCATTAGGTTGGTAAAGACTCCGTCCTGTGTTGGGAACCCAAGAGACCAGGACAAGCCTTCATACCTGCTTTTCACCACGGAAGGGGGACATTTCCCTAGCCAGGCCCGGTACCCCAGATTCAGGGCAGACTAGGCTTGCCTGGCAAGGTGTACCCAGCCTCCAGACTCTATGCAGAAGCCCCAAGGACTCAAGAGCTGTCCCTCCAGGTTCCCAATGGATGGATTTCTTTTCTGCCCAAGATCCAGACACTCAGCCCAAGTCAGCACTGCACAGAGGACACTTTTCAGGAAGTGCTTTATACATGTCACAATCTATACATACTCCAAAACTCAGAATCCGAAGACTGCAGGCTGATAGCACCAAGTTATTCCCTAATGTCTCAGCCTATGCAGGAGATCAGGTGGGCAGCACAGTAGTACAGCCCAACCATCCTCGGGGAGACCGCCTATGTCAGAGACTCTCAGCAAGAAAGAGTCTCTGTTAACTTCTCAAAATACCCCTTTCCCAGCCAGGTGCAGTGGCGCACGCCTGTCATCCCAGAGACTTGGGAGGCTGAGGCAGGAGGATCTTAAGGCTGGGTAACATAGGGAGATGCTGTTTCGAAATAAAATTTTACCAAAGGCCGGGGTTGTCACTCAGTGGTAGGACACTTGCATGGCATGCATGAGGCTCTGGGTTTTAGCTCCAGTATGGCAAAAAAACAATAATAATTTAAAAATCCTGTCCCTCTCTCTCTCTCGTGTCAATGGCCAAAACTATACATGCTTTCTGGCTTGATCATTCTGTAAGCTCCATGGGTTGGGAGAGGCGGCCCTGTCACAGACACCTCAGCTATTTTAGCTACCTTCACCTGCCAGCATGGCCATGATTTTGAAATTATCCTACACCCAGCTCCTTTCACTCCCCTCTGACTACCCAGCCCACCTGTGCTCTCCCCAATTTCCTGACACCAGCCCCTTGTCTCCCGCATCTCCTCTCTCTTGGCCAAACACCCGTCGCCCACAACTCTCAGGAGAGTGCCTATGCGTGTATGTTCATGTTTTCGACTTTTTTTTTTTTTTTTAAGCTAAGACATGTAGGAAGAGGTTGGGGAAACTGACCTCTGGAATCTCATGTTCAGTTTTACAGTAACTGGGACAGATAGTAACACACCTCACCCTGTCACTGTTTTGTTCCTGCCTCAGTATCCTGACAGATTTACTCCTAAACTCCCATGTTTATCACTGAAATTCTCCGGTGTACATGACTTTGCCTCTTGGCAAAATAGTGTCAACCCTGACAGAAGAGTCTCTGAGCCTAAAGGAAGGAAAAAACTCCCACTACCAGGCCAGAACATCAGCCTGTCTGGGTCACAGGATTCCTAAGTAAAAGAGCAATCCAGCCCAAACTGGCCTTGTAAGTTGGGAGTGCAGGAATTGACTTCTGCTCCATCCACTCCTTTGCCACCATTCCTCTGTCTCTAAATGTCCCTGAAAGGCACACCTACTTTCCACTTTCCTTACAGTGAAGCTACTGAAGACGACCAGCATGCAGGACACAGTTGAATTAGATCAGGAACTCACGGGCCTGATGCCCAGGGCAGAGTTACAGCAGCCCAGCCCTAGGAGGCCAAGTCACAAAGGCCAGAGGACAAAAGTCTTCGTAGCAGTGAAACCAGAGGATCTGCTCAGATGGGAAGCAGGGGGATGACAGACCAGACCCGCCTGCCCTCGCACATTTCAGCCACAGAAGCAGCCAGGAACACGATTTGAAACCCACTGGTGTGGACGGTACCCGCAGGACAGGTGGGCCTCCTGTAAAGAACCCAGCAGGTGATCTGATGAACAAAAAGATTAACAACTAAGAGTTGGCATCATTAAAAACGGATTGATTTACCAAAAGAATCACTGGAAGATGCTATCTACATAAACTGCATCAGTAATTTTGAAATACAATTAATTTCACAAAAATTCATCAGTTCTCCCTCAACCCCTGCCGGAATAATAATATAAACTTGTGGTGACATGAAGGCTTTGAAATGGAGGCTCTTGTTCTCCTTCTGCCCAAGTGAACAGAACCATGCATGAAAGTTCTGGATCCAAAAGGCCCACCCAACCACCTCCAAATGGATGGTAGAAAGAAAGACTTCCTGGTGAATCTCTTGCACAGGCACGCCTAAGAGTGGGCCACCCCAACGTGGCCAAGGCCAACAACCCAGCCTCAGCAACACTGACTAGCCAGCTCTACCGAGTGCTGGCCCAGACAGATTTCTTCAGTTCCCCAAGTCACATAAGTATTCTGCTACCTCCCCCAAGACCCAGAAAGAAACTGGAAGAGCCCTGTAAGGTCTTGGCTGGGGCCAACTATGAATACCAAGCTCTAGGAACATTGACCCAGAGATAGCATCATTACAGATGGAAGCTCATTCCCTGTAATTCCACCCCAACCCAAACATCTCCCCATAGTCTGCTCATGTGTGCAGAAGAGAGCTCCCAGCTCCAGGTAGATGCCCTGGAAGACGGCTTACAACCCAATGAAAGCCAAGAATGGCCTACCACCGTGGAGCATTGTAACTGCTGAGTCTTCATTTAGAAAAGCAACCAGGAGTTGGCTTTGTACAGCCACATCTTGTTTTCTGTTGACCAATAACCTGTGAACTAAAAGAGATTTCAGAACTGAGATGTGATACAGATTCATTCTGGATATATTTTTCTACAAGGGGCTCAAAAGTGTAGTCAATTCATTGTTCACAATGTGTTTCATTCAGGTACAACAGATCGTTGAACCATCCCCACTAGCAAACCCCACCACCCACTGCAACCCTCCTCTTCAGAAGCAAACCTCCAGGAGAGTTGATCCTGCTCCCCTCCCTCCTATGCATCCACCAATCTACCTCACATTCTCCTCCCCTGCACCCAGCACCACTGGAATGCTGCCCCATGCCAGGAGGCCAGTGACATAAGATGACTGCCGTGCTGATGTGGAAGTCCTCTGCCAGCCTACACCACCCAGGAACATCCATCCCAGTCCAATAGCAATCAGAACCCATGAGATGCAGCCCTTTGCTGTCCGGAATCATACCCTAAACCCTAGCTCACAGAGAAGAACCTTGCATGAAAGTTGGATTCAAGATAAGAGAAAACTCACTCCAAACTATCAAGAATTAGGATATTGTCCAGCAGAAAAAGACCATGACATCTCAGCCAAACCTCATCTTTTAGGGGGCCCAAGCTCCCCAACCTTCCTCTATTTCCAATTCATTCTTTCTTTCCTGTTCCCTTCCTGCAACTTTGGCCCCCTGTTCATGAGCTACTCCATAAGAGCTCCCACCATTCAATGAGCAAATGATCTTGCTCCCACCCCAGTGCCCCACCAGTGACCTTTACCCATGATGCTTTAGGGTTCAGGTGAGAAGTCACTCAATGACCAGATGCTATGATTTGCCATCAGATTGGCATACAGACACAGGAGTTTTGTTCAAGAAAGTCACTAACTGCCTTGGTTTCTCTCCAGAATCATAGAGATTATAAAACAAAGATGCTTCAAGTATTCAAAGGGGAGAAAAATATAGTGCCTATCCTCAGCGTGTGACTAAAAAAACCCCAGGTAGCTGATGGAATTCAACTCACTTCCTGCTTTTGTCCACACCAGATTATCTGTAAGTCACTTGAGGATTTGAGCATCTTATCTGGACCTGCAGGCTTTAGGCATCAGCCACCCAGCAGACACTGGGACAATGAAAAAGCATTGTCTGATGCCTCTATATCCTCCTTTGGAGCTGTGGGCAGCCAGTGGGGAAGACTAATTCAACCAAATACAATGTGTGAAATTATGGAAAATGAGAGAGAATGGAGATTAGCTTCCAAAATCCATAGCAAGGCTTTCTTAGCCAGCACCAGAGTATTTTGCATGTTTTTGGTTTTTTTACACAAAGTCACAATTCACACACCCTTCTTTCCAAGCTCACCTTGATGAATATGGGAACCACCCTTTTTCCGTATGGTCCCAGAGAAGTTTGGCCCTGCCCTGGAGGGCTCTGGGGGACTCAGCCTACACTCCACAAAGCAATAACTACAGACTGGCCCCTGCACCACATCTGGTAATCGGTGGCTCTCCACGTGTCACCATGACAGGATCAGAAAACGCTGCCCTTTGGAGGCACCCCCTTCAAGATCAGAGCTTTGTTTCTGAGAAAGGACAAATAGCATTGGCTGCTTGTGAGGCCCAAGCACCCCAAAACTGAAACAAAAGAGAAGCCCTAACTCTAGACCTACATCCGCTGTCCAGCATGGCACCTGAAGACCTATTCCTTGCTACTTCAGCTACTTCTAAGAGGCCAGGGAAACGGGCCTGCAGGCCACCCCAGACCCACAGCATCCAATGGGAGTGGAGACCTTGCTCCCTGTCCTCTCACACCCCCTGCTGGCTTCCAGGGCTGGCCATCCCCTCTCCCGCCCTCCCCTGGTCCCATGGCTTCCTACCTTTGGGCTGCTGCCTGCGCTCTCTGAAGGCCACGTGAGATGATCAAAAGCAGAACTGGGCATGGAGTTTTGCTGGAGTGGTCGCACACACCATTTCATGCTCTCACATCACGGAATGACCCTCAAGATGTGAAGTCACACACACCATTTGTCCCATTTAGATTCTCATCCTTCCCCACCTCAGAAACCTTTCAGATCTCTTATGTCAAGGCAGGTTACATTATGTTAAGCAGTTGTGTAGACTCCAAAATATATTTTCTGTAATCACCACTATTTCTCAAAAGGCCTCCTCCTGTAATTATTATACATGTGAATTTTTCCTTATTTATAAAATATATATATAAATTATTTTTAATACATCAACTTTAGTAGAAATTTGTACCAACACAGTAACAGTATGTGGCATTTGAAATAAGTTTGTGTTTACTTTGACGTATGACACGGTATTGAACACATGATGTATTTGCAGTACCACTTGATAAAAAGATGATTCACAGGTTATCATAAAGTATTGTCATTGTAAATGCTCTTTTTCTGAGGATTTTGCAATAAAACTTAAGAAAAGTTACCTTTTTCTGGCACCAATCTGTCGGCAGTTGTTAAAGTGAGAATGGATTTGGGCAGACCATTCATCAGCCTCTCTTCCTGTCCACTGCAGTCATAGATAGAGGTGGCCTGATCACCTCCCTCAAAGACCTCCACATCTAAATAGCATTATCTCGGGCTGGGTGCAGAAACACATGCCTGTAATCCAAGCAGTTCAAAGCCTTGCAACTCAGCAAGGCCCCGAGCAACATAATGAGACCCTGTCTCAAAATTTAAAATAAAAAGGGCTGGGGATGTGGCTCAGTAGTCAAGCACCACTGGGTTCAATCCCTGGCACAAAAACAAATAAATAAATAAATAACATCTGGGAGCAACACAGTGCTGCTCCCCATCTCCTGGAGAATGCAATGTGTACAGCCCTGTGATATGGACTTAATAAACATTTATTTTAATCCTTAACAATAACCCAACAAGGTAGGTACCATTATAATCCCCATTTTACAGAAAAAGAAGCCAAGGCTCATCAACGAGCCAGGCTTCAAATCCAATCTACATACCTGCCAACACACACACCCTGACCATTGATGCTACTATCTTCTATACCCCATGTGACAAAGTCTGACCCTCCATTGCTCCAGCCCTACTTCCTCACAGACCCCCTCACACACCTCTCTCTGCCTCATTAACATTAGAGGAAAGTCCAGCAATTCCCTTTGTCTACAGAAACCTGCATCTAATCTGAACCCAAAAACATAGAATAAAGCAGAAAGCAGACACCAGTTTGCTCTCTGCCTCACCTAAGGCTGAGCTCATCCCTGAATACACTCTGGTTATCTCTTATGTATCACAAGTCCCAGAAATTCAAGGGTTGGCATTTAGGGGAGTTGAGTGGCAAAGGTACAGCCCATCCTAGGACCTGCCCCAAACAGGGCAGGTGCTTCTGTCCCATCTGAAATCCCAACTATTCTCTCCTGACCAAGCAAAAGAAGGCCACACAGAGATAAAAAGTGACTGGACCCAGCTCCACAGATCTAAGTGAAGGGCTGACTCATGTTTGGCACCTCCCATGGCCAGAACACCTCTGCAACCACATCTACTCTCTTGTTCATCATTTTCCAAAGACCATCATCAGTACCCAAAGGTCATCCACATGGAGCCCACAGTCCGCAGGAGTCAGAGACCCAAGAAGAACCACAGGTTCAAGGAGGGTGCATGTAGGAAAGCTTGCTTGGGGAAGTTTTTTTGGATGAGGTGATAGAGAAGTCAAGTGGGAAGGACAAAGGGGGTGACAGACTGCCTGCCAAACAGAACAGTAAAAGCAATGGACTTGCACAGAGAGAATGGCAAGAAGGTGGGCATGATGGGCACAGCAGCTGTGAGGGAAAGTCTCTGCACACAATAAGTCCTGAGACTGAGAGAGCTGCATCTTGTTACAGAGGTAGAGGCCATTATTTAGGCTCTGGGGCACATCTTTCCAGCTGATGAGCTGAAGGTGTCCATGTAAAAAGGAAAAAGGAAAGGAGATGCTGCCCAAAACATGCCTTTGTCTACAATCTGCATCCAGGACCCAAAAGCCTGGATTTTATTTTTTTTAACATGTCACAACTCCCGATCGATCACCCTAACAACCAAAACATCATGACCCTCACTGAGAAAGCTTGCTGAGGCTTATTCAAAGTGTAATAATCAGAATTAGGGGGCAGAAAATTGAGGCCAAAATGAAGAGAGTCAATTTTTTTAAAGTCCAGTTCTGTGAACCCCATCCATCCTCTCTTCGAGGCCATCCATGCAGTTTCTATCAGTCAAAAGTCTCTGGAAACTTCCCTGGGACTCCCAAAAAAATAGAGGGCAGTAGGAACGTATTCTCTGAGAGGATCCACTCTCTCCCTTGCAAATGTGTTCCCTTTCCCCTTTCCTCTCCTTTTAATAAACTCATGCCTATTATTCCGAGTGACATGTCTGAAATATTTCTGGGCTCACACTGATCAAAGTCTGAACTAGGAGAAACTACCTGTATATATCCAACGAAGGACTAGTATCTAGAATACACAAAGAACTCAGGACACTGAACAGTAATATAACAAGCAATGCAACTAGAAAATGGCAAAACACATGACTTCTAAAATTCTAACACAGAAATTTCACCAAAGAGGATATATAGAAGTTAAATAGGCACATGAAAAGATGCCAAATATCATTAGTTAATAGAGAAATGCCAATGAAATATCACCACCACATTAGAATTGCTAAAAATACTACTCTGAGAAAATTAAAAATAATGACAACACCAAATGCTTCTGAGGATGCAGAAAAACTTGATCATTCATATACTTCAGAAAGAAATGTAAAATGAGGTAGCCTCTCTGGGGAAAAAAAGTGGCTTTTTTAAATTTTTTAATTAGCATTTGACTATCAGATGACTTGATAATTGCATCCCTAGGCTTTTGTGCAACAGAAGTGAAGACTTACCTTCTCCAAAACACATATGCAAATGTTCACAGGACCTTTATTCATAATAGCCTGAAACAGGAAGCAACCCAGATGTTCTCCAGATGCACATGTACACATGATGACTCATTTATGATATCAATTCCTGAAATGGTAAAACTACAGAAATGGAAAGCATATGAATGGCTACAGGAATAAAGGAAGAGAACAGTGTGAGAGGGATCTAGGTGTGGATATCAAAAGACAATAGATGAGATCCCAGTGGCAATGAAAATGCTATGTGTTGACTGCACCCACATCAGCCTCCCAGTTGTGCTATTTTTTTTTAAAGAGAGAGAGAGGTAGAGAGAGAAAATTTTTAATACTTATTTTTTAATTATCGGCAGGCACAACATCTTTGTTTGTATGTGCTGAGGATCGAACCCGGGCCGCACGCATGCCAGGCGAGTGCGCTACCGCTTGAGCCACATCCCCAGCCCCCAGTTGTGCTATTGAACCAAGGTTTTGCAAGATGTTTCTTGTTGGGGAAAACTGGGCAATGGGCTCACAGGATCTGGGTTGTTTTTCTCATAACTGCACATGAATCTATAATTATCTCAAAAGAAAAAACTTTCAGGTCCAGGTGGTATCAGCAGTGACTATTCTCAAACATTAAAGGAAGATACAAAGACAATTCTATACAAACTCTTCCTGAGAATATAAAGGAAAGAAAAAAAAATACCCAACTCACTTTGTGATACTAGAATAATTTTTTACACTAAAACCCAATAAAAACAACTCAAGAAAAGGAAAATTAAAAGCCTATTGTACTTGTAATAAAGATAACAAAATCCTAAAGAAATAACAAACTGAATCCCATAATTCAGAAAAAGAAGTAATGCATTATGACTAAGATGGATTAATCCCAGAATTGCAAGGTTGATTCAACATTAGGAAAAAATTGATGTAATTTACCACATTATCAGATGAAAGGAAGAAAAGCATATGAACATCTCAAGAGATGTACAAAAATATTGAAAAAAATCCTGAATCGATTCACATGCATGATCTCCTTTTAGCAAAATAGAATCAGAGACTTTATTAACTAATTATTCAAAATGAAGGTCTACAGCAAACCAACTTTAGTGAAGCATGAACACTGGTGAGCTCCCTGTTGGACCAGGAACAAGACAAGGGTCCCACTACCACCACATCAATTCACCACTGCATATCAATCCTAGCCAGAGCCAGAAAACAAGAAGAGATGGGTGTAAGATATGAAAGAAACAAAATTATGTGATTGTGTATTTGGAAAATTAAAATGAATATACAAGACACCTTATTAATTTTCACAAGAGAGTTCAGTGAAGTTGACAACCAAACAACACAACAGAAACAATTATATTTCTATATACCAGCAACAAACAGTAAATTTAAAAAAAAAAAAAGATTCCACTTATAATAGAATTTAAAAGCACAGGAATAAAATTACTAAAAACATAAGATCCCTCTGAGAAGAATTCTAGAACTTTAAGAGACATTAATTACACTAAGTGGAGAGCTATACCATGTCAATGGACTGGAAGATTTCATAATATAACAGTGTTAACTTTCCCAGACTGATTCATAGAATAATATAAAGAAGGGATTTTAGAAAATTCTAAAACGTATATGGAAGTTTAAAAGATCACAAGTAGCTAAGAAACTCTTGAAGGAAAAAGGGTCAGGAACTTTCTCTACTAAATAAGACTCAATCTAAAGGTATAATAACTAAGACAATGTGGAATTGAGCAAGTTAGACAAACAGATCAATGGAAATGAATACAGGGATCAGAAATATATATATATATATAAATGAAAGTATTATATCCAGCAGATTTAGCATTGCATATTGGTGGGGAAAGGTGAAATTTTTCAATAAATGAAGCTAGAGCAACTGTGTATCCATAAGGAGAAATAAAATGAGACCCCATCTGACCCACATGCAAAAATTATTTCCAGTTAGATTTTTTTAATAAAAAATTAGAAGAAAATATAGAGCAACTTTATAACCTTGAAAATAATTTCTTAAATAAGATACAAAAAAAAAGATTAATAAGGGCTGAGGCTGTAGCTCAGTAGCAGAGTGCTTGCCTAACATGTGTGAGGCACTGGTTTCAATCCTCAGCACCACATAAAAATTTTAAAAAATAAATAAAGGCTGGCTAACCATCTACAACTACAAAAAAAATTTTTAAAGGATTAATAAGCTAAGCTACATAAAAAATTGACTGTTTCTGTTTTTTTAAAGACAAAATGTAAAAAGACAGGGCATCAAGTGAAAGAAGATATTTATTTGCTATATGTACAGTCAAAAAAGTAATATCCATAATATATGAAAAACCTTCACAAATCAATAAGAACAGATGCAACAGAAAAAAATGGGCAAGATTTTTTTAAAAAACCACAAAAGAGGAAATCCAGAAAAACCAACAAACATATAAGAAAGTGCTAACTCACATTAGTAATCAAGTAAGCCAAGTAAAATTAAGTTACATAAATGTATTTAAGATACAAATACACTCTAACCTACCCGGCAAAAATGAAAATAACTAA